GGCAGGTGGGCAGTCAGGGTTTACCACATGTACAGACTTCTCGGCTGAGGACAATGACAAAGTTCTCGTGATGGTTTACCAACATGAACCTACGTCTGAGAAGGACACCAGTGGGCAATGATGCACCCTGCAGGCTTTACTACACTTTTTAAGTGTGTATGCAGCGGGTACCAACTATGCAAGCTTGTTCAGAGAAAGGTAGCCTGGCAAAGCCAGCAAGCTGGGCCAGACGATCCCCACCATGGGCAGTGCTTCAAACCAGGGAACAAACCCCACAACACTGAGTGTGGAGAGAATGGCAAACCCGCAGCAGCGTTTTCAGCCACATCCTGTCCGAACACCAGACAGATGACCTTCATCTGTGCTTACGGACAGAAACCGGGTCAAAGCTCTCCCCGCCTCCTACTCCACTTGAGAATCAGGGACACAGAAGGTAAGCTTGCCCTCGTTTGGCTTCTACTCAGCAACAGCTCCAACACTTCTGTCTCACTCACAAAACCAAAGCGAGGGCCTGGCGCGGTGGCGCAAGTGGTTAAAGGTCCTCGCCTTGCACGCCCGGGATCCCATATGGGCGCCGGTTCTAATCCCGGCAGCCCCGCTTCCCTTCCAGCTCCCTGCCTGTGGCCCGGGAAAGCAGTCGAGGACGGCCCAAAGCTTTGGGACCCTGCACCCGCGTGGGAGACCCGGAAGAGGCTCCTGGCTTCAGATCGGCATAGTATCGGCCGTTGCGCTCACTTGGGGAGTGAATCATCGGATGGAAGATCTTCCTCTCTGTCTCTCCTCTCTCTGTATATCCGCCTTTCCAATGAAAAAATAATAAAAATAAATCTTTTAAAAAAAAAAAACCAAAGCGATACATCTGCGCCCTGGTCACAGACTTTCCCACAGAGCTGGCCACACGTGGATCCAGTGTGTGGAGGCCAGCACCTACCCATGTTCCCGAAGTGGGGACACCGCTGCTGTGACGTCAGGGCCCCAGCACGTGGCCTCAGGAGCTGTGCGCGCCCTTCTCGGCAGTCCTGAGCCGGGCAGCCACAGCAGCAGGAGAGTTTCAGAGGAAATGGAAGATCCGGTTACACCTTATCTCTCAACGCCAAAATACAAGCAACTGACTGCATAGATCAGTGCAAAGTTCAAGAGAATTCAGGAGTTTTACTGGGCAAACAGGAATGTGAAAAGCAGATTCTGCCATTAAATATCATCATTTCTGAGAGAGGTAAGTCACCAAAAACTGGTTTTGGCCCTAATCACATTTATGACTCTTTAGCTGAAAAGCAGACCTGGCCACTGCTTTTCTTTCATCACGGTGTCTCCATGACAACGTGCGCAGGGCCCCCAAGTGCGCACAGCACACGCCTCCCAAGCCCTCCGAGTGAAGACCTGCTGGGTGGCACTTCCCTTCCTGCCATGAAGCCCAGAGGGACCTCTTGGGATGAGCCCAACACACCCATGATCTTTCCCACACTTTCGGGGAGGGAGCTGGCTGGGCTTCCACATCCTGAAGGCGCAGCTCGTGGCCCAGCCTTCCGTCCCAGCCACGGCCCATCCTTGCTCTGCCTCCTTCTCAGGAAGCCAGCGCCTAGGCAAGGCTCTGCAGGAGACAGGAACCACGCAGTTCCATCCTCAGCCTACTGACTCTCAGGTGACAAGGGGCACGTTCCTTACAGCACACAAGCTTTTACAGAACACCAGAGGCCGTGAAAGGCACTAAAGTGCGCTTTGGCAGTGTGGGCAAGTAGCCACTAACGCAGCACAGAAGGGACGGGGCCCATCTTCCTAGTACTCACACAGGAAACAGCTCTGGGCTCCTGGCTTCCACCTGGCCCAGCCCTGGCCATTGTGGCCATTTGGGGAGTGAACCAGAGAGTGGAAGATTCTCCTTCTCCCCTCCTCTCTGAACTCTTTCAAATAAATAACACATAAATCTTTTTTTAATCAGCGCATTAAACACAATTCATATAACATGTTGGGTATGATCCAAAGCTTGAAGTCGATAAAGAGTTCTTCGAAGGAATCAGCGCTAGTGGTCTGAGTGCCTGAGTTAATTAAGGAGCTGATGAAAGCAGACTCTTCTATATAAAACAGCAAAGGCGGTAGGCATGGGTGAAGGAGAACACGGATGGATCACTTGAGAATTTAAGTGGCATACACACTCAACATAGCTATTTAAAACAAACAAAACCAAACCAGAAAATACTGAAATTCAAGGCTGGCATGGTGGCTTTCAAGGTTAGTCTCCTGCCTGCAGTACGGGCATCTCACATGCGATCCAGTTCATGTCCTGACTGCGCCACTTGTGACCCAGTTCCAAGGACAGCAGCAGAGGATGCCCTAAAGTCTCAGGACGCTGCATGCCAGTGGGAGACCAGAGAGCTCCTGCTTCCAGATCGGCTGAGCCACGACAGATGCCATCTGGGGAGTGAACCAGTGAATGGAAGGGCCGTGTGTGTGTGTGTGTGTGTGTGTGTGTGTGTCCTTCTCTCTGTAAAACTACCTTTCAAATAAAAATCGCTAAAATCTTAAAAAACAAAATTACTGAAATTCAAAATAAAAATCGCTAGGGAACACTACAGAATAATTTTTTAATTAAAAAAAAGTGTGCATAAAATGGCTAAAAACCATCTGATAGATGCACATGCCTCATGTACAAGGAGTTTGCACAAAGTGTGCAGGGAAAACAGCGAGGGGCCAGTGTTGATCCACTACCGGCCCAGCCGCCAACTCGAAGCAGCACTCTGTGTGGACACGAGTTTAGGAGCCTGCCGCTCGTGCATGCTCCGGCTCCCTGCCCGTGTGGACTCGTGCCTTGGATGGGTGCTGCCGGAGGTCCGAGCGCTCAGGCCCTGCGCCCACGTGGGAGACCCAGAAGAAGCTCCTGGATATAGCCTGGTCCGTCTCAGCCACTGCAGCCTGTTGGGGGTGAACCAGCACATGGAAGAGAAAAACCTCTCTCTTCCTCTCACTCTGATTTGCAAATAAATAAAAAATAATGTCTAAAAAGCAGAAGTGAAGCTCAGATCACTTTAGTAGAGCGTTTCTGAGAAACGTGTACAGTTATTCACAATCGGCCTTCTCCACAAGCAGCCAAGGTCTCTTATCTGTAGAGAACATCACGGCAGAACTCCTGCATGGGAAAGGAAACTTCTAGGCTACTTGCTAGCATCAACAGTTCGCACTGGGAAAAAATACAGCTGTACATGCCAATCAGAGTTCAAAACAGAGGCAGCCAGAGGGCAGGACCACGTGCTGTATTGGAACTCAGTCCAGCCCAGGGCTGCCTCCTCGTCCATCACACGGGAGGAGGGAAGATGCTGGCAGTCAGGAGAGAGACTGGAGGAGGACTGTGGACATTCAGTGCTCGTGGCTCACACCACCCTCTGCCCAAGTCTGGTCCACCACCGGAGGTAAGGCATCTGCACGGGTACCACGCAGCTGGAAACCACTCAGGCCCCAGCCTGCCCGCAGCCTGCCCCTGTCTGCCCATCACCACAGAGCCCCAAGCCTCTGTCCTAGTTTCTGCAAGGCCTTCTTGAAGATCATCAACCCAGAGGTGCCTCTGAGCTCTCCTCTGAATACTGCTTCCTGTTCCTCCCCACACAGCTCCCCCTCCTCTGTTGACCGCTGCGCTGCTGAGGCATGCCTGGGTCCCAGCACCACACCTGGCACCAACTGAAGGTACAGGCCTTCCCTCTCAATTCACACAGCAAGGAGGGTCTTCAGAACACCCAGTGCTCACTGCAATGAACGACCATGTTCCAGCAGCGAGGTTTTCTGTATGGAAAACCTCCCACCATGTAGTGGGCAGGAAAACAGACCAAGAAAACAACCAGGTATCTTTATTAGCAGCAGCCTTGTGGGGGAAAGCCCAGACTGTTCTCACGAGGGTTACTCTTACTCCTCATCATGGTGCAGGACAGGCCGCACACCAAGGGCCACCTGTGCCTAGCCAGGGGCGAGGGCTCGAAAGTGCCAAGTGATACACAGAGTCAGCTTTGCTCTTCATCACCCTGTAAACCCACGTCTTAACAGCCAAGCTCTGTAGTGCCCATCCCATGAGGACAGCACCGTAATTTCAGGGAGGAATCACGGGTTATCTTGGAATAAGCACAAAACCCCAAGTTACCAACTGCAATCAGGCTAGGCCAGCAAGTGTCAGCAACGCTCTCCAACCCACTGCCCTGCCCATGGCTGGCTTCTGAGCCCGTGCTTAGCCTCACTCACCCTAAGGAAAGCTCAAGTGAGTGTAATCAATCCCACAGCCCCACTGGGTCCTCCAGGAAGGCAGGACCCTCCCACTTTGCTCCTCCGCCCTGACTCAGAGGCTGAGGCTCCTGGCAGCAGGATGCACTCCGCCCAGCTCCCGCCTCGGCCAGCAGCTTGCTGCACTTTCAGAAGTGCTGTCTAACATTCCCAGGCTTCATCTGCGTGGCTGGCGGCTCCTTCCCAGTTCTGGATCCCGACATGCCGCCTGCGAGCAATTAGCTTCCCAGAGGCCCCAGCCCACTCAGACACTCAGAGCACACTGAGTGAGGGGGACACATCAGCTCCCAGCAAGAGGCCCCAGTGGGAAGCCAGCACAAGCCAGCCCAAGGGCAGCTCTGCCCTGTAGTCATCAGGGTGGCCAGAGGGCCTCCCCAGGGGCCCGCATTACCCCAGGAGAGTGGAGAAACAGCCACAGCACACCCAGACAAAAGGCGGAGGCCAGCAGGGAAGCCAGAGCTGGAGGAGTAGGGGAGGACTGAGACAGGACCCTTCCCAGGAAAGGCAGCCATGGGGAGGGCTCTCGGGCACCTTGCGGACATGGTGGCCACCTGAACCCGAGCCCACAGTCCAACAGAAAGCGGGCCTCCCTCCTCCCAGTCTCTGCTCAGACTCCGTGTCTCCCCTCACAGCTCCAGCCGGCAGCTGCAGATTCATCCACTCCTGACCAGGAAGCTGAGGCCCCTGGAGCCCACAAAGGCAAGCAGCCGGCACGCCAGCAGGCTGAGGCACGGCCTTACCTTCAGCAGCACCACGGCCACAGTCCTGTCTACTCTGGAGATGTCGCACAGGCTGTAGCGCCTCTTGTGCCGCTCGTACATGCTGCCCAGAAGCAGAGGCCAGGAGACAAAACACAGGGCGGGCACCACCGGGACCTGTCAGGGCAGTTCTCACAGCAAGCAGGGGCTTCTGCCTTCCAGACTTCCCTGTGTGAACAACCTTTTGGGGTCACAACCTCAGCAGCAGAGACCAAGCAGGATCCAATCCCTTGAATGAGAGCTTTCTGGCAGCTTCAGGGTGCAAGACGAGAGACTTGCAACCCCCGTGGAAAAAACCCGTGTCCACAGACGCTACACCCTGCGCAGATCCTGAGAGCGCGGGCGGTGCACACCACTCCCATGGCTGGCAACAAACCCCGTCGAGAAGCAAAGAACAAACTGGCCACGCACAACGGCCGACACACACGGGGGAGAAACCCAAGGCAGCAGCCGCCTCCACTCTGCACTTGGCAGCAAGAGGAGAAAGACGACTCTACTTCAAAGAAATCCCAAGAAAAAATGTGCTGGGTTCTCTTACTTGGGGGAAAACAAAGGGCAAGAAAGCCAATTTTTCCTTCCAGAATTGTAAAGAGGCTGGGGAGAGGCTGTTGATGTCCTGCAAGGTGGAGTCCTGGAGTCCAGCAGCTGGGCTTCGACTGAAGCCGCAAATATCCAAGGACAGTAGAGCAGAAGGGAAGACAACTCCGGCTCGTGGAGCGCCCGGCCAGCCCGCCCAGCAGAAGGGAGGACAACTCCGGCTCGTGGAGCGCCCGGCCAGCCCGCCCAGCAGCCCCCCTTCTCCCTCTGGAGCAACGTCAGCGACTCGCCCTCGCTGCTTGGCCGCAGCCTCGGAGGGCTGAGACGCAACTGCAGTGGTGGGACCATGATTCACAGAGGGATGGGAGGAAAACAAGGCTTCCCTCGCCAGCCGCCTCCTGCCCCTCCTGCTCGCACAGCCCCTGGGAAGAGGCTGGCCGACGAGCCACAGGGCCCAGCGCAGTGGCCAACAGAGCCAGAGGGTGTGACCCCACAGCACAGAGTGCAGCACATCCTCTACTTGTGCACACAGAAATCCTGCTTCTCCGTCACACCAAGCCACGGGCTTACCAATAGGAAAATGCCGCCAGCTACTGCAGGGCTATGCCCTGACCTTCCCGGAAGAAGTTACAAAAAGTCCTCGCCTTGAATGCACCGGGATCCCACATAGGCGCCAGTTCTAATCCCAGCGGCCCTGCTTCCCATCCGGCTCCCTGCCTGTGGCCTGGGAAAGCAGTCGAGGACGGCCCAAAGCCTTGGGATCCTGCACCCGTGTGGGAGACCTGGAAGAACTCCTGGCTTTGAATCGGCTCAGCACAGTACCGGCCGGTGCGCTCACATGGGGAGTGAAGCATCGGACGGAAGATCTTCCTCTCTGTCTTTCCTCTCTGTATATCTGACTTTCCTAGAAAAATAAATAAATCTTTAAGAAAAAAAAGTGTCCACCAGGGAATCCAAGTGGGGAGGCCAGCAGGACTGCAAAGACGAGAGGAGCGTGTGTGCACGACACAGCGCTGTGAGTCACTGGGCTGGCTGGGCCGGGCTGGTGCGGTTCTGTGCAGGCGCGTGGCCCCTCCAGCCCCCACCGCAGACCACAGAAGACATGCTCTCACTTCAGGCATGAGGGGAGGGGAAGAAGAGGGACTGAGGGAAGCACAAAGCCATAGCAGTGGGTAAAGGCTCAAAAGGAAGGGTTAAAAATGATTTTTCTCTTTCTACAAGTTGCCCAGGGTTAATCCTATGAGCCCAGGAGCATGTGCACATGGGGGTTTGCCCCAGCGGCATGGAGGAAGACGGTCCTGCTGCCTGCAAACGCAGGTGACAGCCAGGCCAGGGACAAGGGCCAGGTGGCCGGCACGGCCTGCTGACCTACCAGCCCCCCAGCCTCAGCCACAGCCCACTCTGCACCTCCCGATGCCGTGCTGTGCCAGTTAGCCCCAGCATGGCCGGGAGGGGGTGTGATGCCCTCCCTCCAGCAGCCAGTGAGCCCCAACTGTGACGTCACCAGTGTGCAGAGGGAGGCAGATGTGGCTTTCAGGGTGAGGAGGCTGGAGAGCAGGACAAACAGAGATGGCAAGTTGTAAATAGAAGTCTTATTCCGGCTTCCCGATGTGGGAATCCAGCCGGGGAGTTACAAACATTTTCAGACTCTGCAGCCAGGGTGCACCGCAGAAGACCCTGTAGGCTCCAGTATAAGAATGGGTGCCTGATGATAACTCAGGGGTCTCTCTCCTTCCCCCTGGACACAGCATTGTGCTCAGAGGGGTCTGCTCCACCTGGCCCACCTTCTAACAGGATCTAACAAGGCCCCTGGCCCAGGGGCCCCAAGCCCACCTTCTAACTGGGATCTAACAGGACCCTTGCCTCCACCACTCCCACCTTCTAATGGGATCTAACAAGGCCCCTGCCCCAGGGGACCTGGCTTCTCCACAGGGACAGGGCCCCTCATCCCAGCTTCCACAAAGCTCATCTATATCAATTGAGCAGACACTGGACCCTGCAGGGCAGGAAACAAATAACAAGGCCTCTGCCCTCAGGAAGATTATAAAATTAGAGGGAAACCTGTTCTAGAATAATCTGATTTTCGGCAACAGCCACATCACTATTTGAGACATATGGATTGACCACTCTCCTGCCTCTGCTGCTGTGCTGCAAGCTGGCTGCCCAGCCCTTGCGCTGGATGATGCAGAGCTGGAGGGCAGTCTCGGGATCTGCTCAGCTCCCCCAGCCAAGGGCAAGCAGAATTGGCAGGCCTGCGTGTTTGCTGCTGAGGTGACAATTCCAAATTTTTATCAAAACCATCTGCAGTCACAGGTGCTACGATTTTGAAACACAGCGACCAAGCACTTCCTGTCAAAGTAGAGGTGGGGCGAGAAAGCAGGTCTGGGTCACCTCCCTTTCCTTTAGTTTGGGGTCACCATCACTCCTGGCAACGGTTATCTGCAGGACCCCTGGACCACCCTTTCACGTCCTCTGCCTCCTCCTCCCTGAGATGCAAGCAGCTCCTGTTGCACAAAAGCCAACGTCGGCTGGGGCATCCTACAGGCTCCAGGAGCTTTCTACACAGTGAAGTAACCCTTTTCCCGGCTGAAGGACGAGGCCCAACAGCCACACAGTTTGGCTTCCCAGTACGGAGCACGGGGTCACAGCAGCCACAGAGGCCCCACCGGCCCTGAGCAGGACCCTGCCTGCGGCTCAGACGGATGACAAAGACCTGGGACGCAGTGCCGTCTACTGCTCCTCATGTTACTGCCCCAGTGACATGCTGGGACCAGTGTGAAAACGGGGGCCGTTCTGAGCAAGTGACCAGGAACTACTCTGAATCTCTGGACTCACCCTCCCACAACAGGAAAAACACAGGGCTCTCCCAGCGGCCGGGCTCCACCTCTGTGTGGTCTCTAGCACCTGCTGGCAGCTGGAGGACCTCGATGGGGTGAGCAGAGGAAAGCACTGGCAGACACACCCTCTCAACACCTGCGCAGGGCACAGCACTCACATGCCAGTTCCCACCTGACTCCAGACACAGGATGGCGATGGGAAAGGCTTCCTCCGCCAGCCCTTTCCATGCAGTGGTGGTCTCAGGAATTTTCCTAGTCATCCCGAGACCTATTTAATCAGGGCCAGAGCCTAGTAGAACGTAGCTGAGGCATTTTGCTGGCACTGAGAGCGACGCCTCTCTGCTTCAAACAAGACACCTGTAGGCATGGTTCTGCGAGGAGAGACAGCCACAGCAGAGCATCACTCCCGCGGGGCTTTCTCCAGGCTCAGGATTTAGCATGGCTGTGCCGCCCCCACGCTGACACACACGGAGGCTCCGAGAAGGGGAAGAGAATGTACGTACACTCCAACTGGACAGGAAGCAACCCGAAGAGCCAGAACTGCTTCTCATGTGTTCAAATCTTGCTAACGTGCAAAGCCCACACCTGTAAAGTTCTGAGTAAAGGAGCTTTCCACACGAGCACTGTGCTTTGTTCCCAAAGACATGGATGCCGAGGACATGCTCTCTCCACGTAACTCCACCGTGAAATACCAAAGCCGTACGAGTTCATGCCCTGTGCTCATGGGAACCAACTACAGACTTCTCCCAAAATGCCCCAGCAGCTGGGCCAGACACCAGGCACTGGAGGATGGCAGGGAGGCAGCCGGTGTCCCAGCAGGTGCAACAGAGTGCACAGGGACCCTGGGCCGTGGGAGCCACGGGGAGCAGCACAAGGCCAGAGCTGGACCAAGGCACGGATGTGGATCGGGGTGGGAAGCACAACGCACTGCAGGGAGATAAACAGCGGCAAACGCCGTCAGCCTCAAGGAGACACACGTCCGGTAGGTCTTGGAGAGGACAACTTGGGGACAGCTGTGATGCACCAAAAAGCTGGATTTAAGGATTCCATCATTTTACTTATTTGAAAGGCAGAGCGAAAGAGGCAAAAGACAAAATGATCTCCCGTCTGCTAATTTAGGCCAAGGGACCACAACAGCTGGGCCAGGCAGGAGACAGGAGCCCACAGAGGGCAGGGGTCCAAACTTCTGAACCACCTTCTGCTACTCTCTCAGGGGCATGACCTGCGAGTGGTCCCAGAAAAGTGACATCCCGTCTTTCAGAAAGTGTATACTCAACTGTCTGGTTTTCCCCCAAGCCACTTTTCCTGTGGACAGAGTACCTACGTGTCACGGGTGCTGCAGGACGGCAACCTGAGAAATACAGCAGGAAACAAGAGCCATGAACTTGACATGAGCCACTAGCCACCAGCAGGACTGTCCTTTCACACAGTCAAGTGTGCCCAAGAGACCCAGCCACAGACCAGAGGAACTTGGGCCCTGTGTCCAGTGTCCAGTGTGGGGGATAGGGGATCCTGAGAAAAGGGGGGTGGGTAAGTGAAGTACATCTTGGCAATGAATGGGGAAGGACAGCAAGAACACAGAAGAAACTTCCTTCCAGATGACCATCTAAGGACATCAGGACAACTGCCCCCTGGCAAGCGGGGCCAGCAGGGCAAGAACAAGACCGGCTCTCGCCTGCCAGAATTTCCTGAAGGGATTCTGTCCGCACCAGCAACACAGGGTGGTCAGCTGGCAGCAAACCAGGACACAGGAGCTAATTTATTCCTCAACACAACAAACATCTGGGTACCTGACAGTTGATCTATATGGTATCAGGAAAGGGAAAAAATTGATGAAACATTCTGGGCTCTTAAGGCAACCAGCTCGACATGAGCACGAGGCAACAGCGGGCAACTCCGGGGACAGCTCTGGGGGCAGCACCAGGGGCAGCTCTGGGGGCAGCTCTGGGGCAGCACCGAGGGCAGCTCTGGGGGCAGCAGTGGGTAGCTCTGGGGGCAGCTCCGGGGGCAGCTCTGGGGGCAGCAGTGGGCAGCTCCAGGGGCAGCACCGGGGGCAGCTCTGGGGCAGCAGCAGGCAACTCTGGGGGCAGCACCGGGGGCAGCTCTGGGGGCAGCAGTGGGCAGCTCCGGGGGCAGCTCCAGGGGCAGCACTAGGGGCAGCTCCGGAGGCAGCTCTGGGGGCAGCAGTGGGTAGCTCTGGGGGCAGCAGTGGGCAGCTCCGGGGGCAGCACCAGGGGCAGCTCCGGGGGCAGCTCTGGGGGCAGCTCTGGGGGCAGCACTGGGGGCAGCACTGGGGCAGCTCCGGGGGCAGCTCTGGGGGCAGCACTGGGGGCAGCAGTGGGTAGCTCTGGGGGCAGCTCTGGAGGCAGCTCTGGGGGCAGCAGTGGGTAGCTCTGGGGGCAGCAGTGGGCAGCTCCGGGGGCAGCACCGGGGGCAGCTCTGGGGGCAGCTCTGGGGGGGCAGCACCGGGGGCAGCACTGGGGCAGTTCCGGGGGCAGCTCTGGGGGCAGCACTGGGGGCAGCAGTGGGTAGCTCTGGGGGCAGCTCCGGAGGCAGCTCTGGGGGCAGCAGTAGGTAGCTCTGGGGGCAGCAGTGGGCAGCTCTGGGGGGGCAGCACCGGGGGCAGCTCTGGGGGCAGCAGTGGGCAGCTCTGGGGGCAGCAGTGGGTAGCTCTGGGGCAGCAGTGGGCAGCTCTGGGGGCAGCAGTGGGTAGCTCTGGGGCAGCACCGGGGGCAGCTCTGGGGGCAGCACCGGGGGCAGCACCAGGGGCAGCACCGGGGGCAGCTCTGGGGGCAGCAGTGGGCAGCTCTGGGGGCAGCACTGGGGCAGCTCTGGGGGCAGCACTGGGGGCAGCTCC